CAGAGTGAACAGTATGGAACACTAAACCAACATGTATAATAATTATGTTACATAGTGTGGCAATACAGTACAAAGACCTTTATTATATAATTAAGAGATACTTTCTGCACAAAAAACAACAACAACTTTCCCACTGTAATGGGCCCCTGTCTCATCAACAGAACATATTATATAAATGGGTCAATAAATCTGATATTATATTCAGATTCACCCCCTGTAACTTTCCACTGTCTCTGAGTAAGACACGAGTTGTTCACGTGAACGGTAGCTTTCCCAAGAGGGACAAGCCCATATGTCAGCATCTTTGTAAGTGGGCACCAGCGACGCTCCTTGCTCAGTCACTCAGATCAACTTATATATTGACATAAACGCCGTCCTCTTTCTCGTTCACTCATATACAGTAATTAGATTAAATTAGGTTAGTTGGACAATCAACATGGCCTCCGCACCTGACAGTTTACAAATAGCCAGACCGTCCGTCCAGGGTTGTTATTCTGTAGCCCCATCACCCCTAACGGGTCTAGGACAACTGGCCGCCGCCATCTAGCCGCAGCCCAACTGGCCGCGGGAAACTCGCCGCGGCCGACTGGCCTCCATATGGAACTTTTTGTTGACAACCCAACCCAACCCAACCCAACCCAACCCAACCCAACCCAACCCAACCCAACCCAACCCAACCCAACCCAACCCAACCCAACCCAACCCAACCCAACCCAACCCAACCCAACCCAACCCAACCCAACCCAACCCAACCCAACTCCAACCCAACCCAACCCAACCCAACCCAACCCAACCCAACCCAACCCAACCCAACCCAACCCAACCCAACCCAACCCCAACCCAACCCAACCCAACCCAACCCAACCCAACCCAACCCAACCCAACCCAACCCAACCCAACCCAACCCAACCCAACCCAACCCAACCCAACCCAACCCAACCCAACCCAACCCAACCCAACCCAACCCAACCCAACCCAACCCAACCTAACCCAACCCAACCCAACCCAACCCAACCCAACCCAACCCAACCCAACCCAACCCAAATAGGCGTTTGCAGTTTACCCCCAGTCCGCGGCGGCCAGTCGGCCGCGGCGAGTTTCCCGCGGCCAGTTGGGCTGCGGCCAGATGGCGGCGGCCAGTTGTCCCATTCCCACCCCTAACGACGTGGGTTTAATGGATTGCGATGGCATTCTCCTTTATAGGGTCCTGTTAATGAAGTAATTCATTCGTTAGAAACATTGTTATTGCTGTCATTATAATTATTATTATTACATTATTATTATTATTATTGTCATCATTATTGTTACTATTACTGGTAAAGTTTTACTTTCAGACAACACAGGAATCTAAGAAATTTTATCTTTGAAATCAAAGTATTATTTTAGTTTTGGTCATCTGAGGAATCTTAAGAATTTAACTATTGGATTCAGTAGTTTATACAATTCTAAGACATTTTTCTTCTATGATGTTTCCCTTGCAAATGGCCTGACCTAACCTGCTAACAGGGGGGCTCTGCCCCCTCCGGCATATATAAGTCGTTTGCAAGGGAAACATCATAGAAGAAAATTGTCTTAGAATTGTATAAACTACTGAATCCAATAGTTAAATTCTTAAGATTCCCCATATGACCAAAACTAAAATAATACCTAGATACAGTATTATCATTCTTATTATTATTAATACATTATTTTTATTATTACTGTCATCATTATCATTATTCTGCAGATCATCTGCTATACGGGAAAGTTTGTGGTCTTTGTTTACAAGTCAAGAAACAAATGATTTCATAGGGCATGTTATATAAGATTAATATTGGATTGAATTAGTTCATTTAGTCATACAAAAGTTGTTTCGGTATTATTGCAGTTTCAGCCAATACACGGCAGACTGTTTTAACTGTCCTCAACCTTTAGATCTTCTTATCTGGATTATTTCTAACCCCATTTCAACCAAGGGGCAAAGAATAACATCAGAAATGAATTTTAAAGTTTTTCCATACCTTTAGGGGGAGGGTTAACTCAATAACTGGTACTTCCCCCGGAAATAAAAGTAAAATTTATTAAATCACACCAAAATACACAGGATAAACTAATTTCTAAACTACTCGGGCATAGTGACTGAAACCACAATTTTACCACTGTTTCGATTATAGTAAGAAAAGTTAGGTGGGTTAAGTAAGGTTAGATTAGGTTCTAATAGGTTCTGTGCATTCTCGCTTCATCTTCATGTTCAGTATCATGTAAATAGTACCTTCAGAAATTTTTATTCGAATCCATAAGATATTGCGGACAATTTATAGTAGTGCACCGTTCTTTTCTTTGGGTATTAGAATATGTTTTTCCTATGGATTTTGATAATTTTGAACGAGTTTGACAATCATTTCTGATGGAAATAACTTGTTTTTTTTTAGATAACACCCCCAAGAATTTTAAGGGAAGGGTACTGGACAGCTCGTACCCAAGCAAATTGTACCCATCAGAACATGCCAACTCGTATCCAATTTACAACAGTTCATACGTACGTACGTGTACACACACACACACACACACCAATGTATGTAATAAGTCATTTATGTCCAATGTATATTTTCAGCCTTCGGGCTGCAGAACTTTTTCAATAAACCGTCAATTATTATTATTATTATTATTATTATTACATTATTACACACACACATATATATATATATATATATATATATATATATATATATATATATATATATATATATATATATATATATATATATATATATATATATATATATATATATATATATATATATATATATATATATATATATTATATATATATATATATATATATATATATATATATATATATATATAAATGTTGATTTTAAGGTAAAGGTGTAGAGAACGGCTACCACCAGAAGTTGTTTGCTGATTTTCTTTATTTTTGCTATACTTATTGTTTTGATGTTTTAAGTACAGTATATTAAAAGAAACAACAACTTTCCATTATAATTTTAAATATTTTTTTTTATTTACTCTATCCCGCTTCACAATTGGGCGACACATATTCAAGTCGTTATGTTACTCATACTGGTCTTGTTTCCGTGTGGTCGTGACTTTTAAACAAATCTATCCAGAGTATCATTAACATATAATCACATAAATAATTGTATATGAGTTGGCCAATATTCTCACTTCGTTCTTTTATATCTTTATTACTACAGTAGTGTACTGTATTTGATTCTTGAGTTTGACATGTCAGAAGAAATTCTTAACGATGTCACCTACTCAATAGAATAAGTTTGTTATACAGGAAGATTTACCAACGAGGAGCCCCGAATTATATACTGTACTGTAAGGTATACTAACTGATTTGTTTACAAAAAGCAGGAGCTGGAAAATCAATCTGTTTTTATGCATGTCTATATTTTTTTGACTTACGACCATTTGAAACGTTTACATCGCCCAGTTTATAAATTGAAACTGCCAAATCTATTAGCCAAAATCTGTAAATTGCAATAAAGTTATTATAAATCACATTGTGTGAATATGTACTTGTAGTGCAATGTTTGTGTTACGAAATAACATAATTATGTAATGAGATGCAATCATTACATTTCCCTATTTCACTGCACTTTCCAACAAGATTTGCATAATCTTTTTTTGTAATCATAGATAAAGCTAAAATGCATGGTACGTATATATACTAATAGGTATGGATTATCTCTTAAATTGGGTTAAGTAATCTTAGGTGCGTTTTATCCCGCGAGTTGGGTACGAGTTGTCTCGGGTACGAGTTGACTTTTTTGGGTACAATCTATCTTGGGTACGAGATGACCCTAACTCTTAAGGGAAGATGTTGGGAAGAGGGAATTTTTGGGTGGAGGAAATCACAGAAATAGGTGATTTCCAATGGAGAACAAGGCCAAAATCCTTCAAAGGTCATCAAAAACCATAGAAAAAAAACATATTTCTAATACTGAAGGAAATACAGTATACCCTAACTTAACCTACCCCCTTTAAAAAAAAAATCACCAAAAACTAACCTAACCTAATAAGGGGGGGCTCTGCCCCCCTGGACCCCCCCCCCCTTGTTCATGCCCCCACATCTTACCTTAATCTGAAGAAGAATCAGGTTCATCTAGGTTGTCTACAGTTTAGACAACTCACGTTGTTCAGTAATACACCATGTTTTCTAAAAAATGCAATGGCCTCAGTATTTTTCTGAAAGAACTCGGCAACAGACGTGTCCGCACAGCTCTTCCACCTGTTCAGCCATACCTGGTACTGAAGTTCAAAATTTCCCTACCGACGCACCCACGCTAGGACAAAGAGCTCTTACCCAATAATAAGTCTCACCTCACCCTACACTCCCCAATAATAACGTTACCCTCACCCACTACTTCCACTAGCCAATAAGATCTCCCACACATGTGCTGCAGACTAATAAGTCTAAGAAGCGAGCAAATGAACACATTGGAGCGGGGACTGAGGAGGGAAAGAGCTTCTCCGCCCGAAATAAACAAGGAATGGGGAGACTTGTGACGTACAAAAGATAATAATACAGTATTGGAAAAATGACATCTCAGTTATCCTCAATATCCACCTTATTTACCCGAAATAATATAAGCTTACCTGTTAAACGTGGTAGTTGCAATGTTGGTATAGTTGATGATTTTCAGCACGTATAAAGTCTTTTCTCTTACACAAGTGAATCTATCTTATCAGTTATTTATCTTTCGAAAAAACGGTGGGAAGTTATATCACCCCTGTTTTTAATTTATGATAAACATCCAATAACTGAGGGTCAGCCTGGTCGAGTGGCACCATTACCAACTCTGATAGCCTTAAATATTTTTGAGTATTTAGCCCCTACATGGTTTATTTACATGAGAAAGCAATTGTACTTTTACTTTAATTACATAACAATTTTACTGAAAATGAATATTATTCTTGTTTTTTGTAATTAATATAATAACGATTATTATTAATTTGTATTTGTCATTATCATCATGATTGTTATTATTATTAAAGATAGTTTCGTTGTCCCTCGTCATGGGTCAGCTGATGCAGTAAGCACACAGGTAGCTGTCGACATCTTTTTCATTTTTACTTTATTTTTAACTTTTATATACCTGTAGTGGATATTTTGCAGAGACAGGCTAAGTTCCTATTAACCTTGAGTACGCTATGATTGGCTAAGTTAGGTTTCTTTGGTTGATTAGGTTAGGTTCTAGTAAATATCACCTCTTTTTATAATAAGAACATCTATAGAAAAAATGATTGACTCACGGCAAAATAAATAACAATTGCAGCCAGGCACGGTCAAATATATTTATCGCACTCGTGATAAAATAGCGTTTGTAGGAACTTGGCTGGTCTCCGAGATATGCTAGGGACTGTCAGTTGATTGAAAATATATCCAAAGGAGGGCTATCAGACTGCTGCCTGCACTAAGCACTTCATACTACAGACAGGCAAGGGGTAACCTAATTAAGGTGTATAAACATCTCGGGGCACTACTGAGTTCCGTGTCCATACCTAGAGCTGGCAGACGCCCGCCCCATGAGCGGTCATGAAGCCAGGAAAAAGTTAAGAAAAACAAGACACGGAAAAAACCTAACCTAACCTACGTGCAATACAATGCCTTTAAAACCTAACCTAATTTAACCCTGCACAGTATTAGATTCCTCCTAAGTCTTAACGACCATTAGAGCCATGGCTGGGAGGCATTGGCGAGAAGCAGCGTCACTCATCATTGTTGGACAGGGAGCCTCTGTAAATACCAAGGTACAGTACAGGTATTGACATTCACAGTTATACATCACCGATTTTCTGGTAACTGATGGTCCGGCACCTCGTTTAGTCCGGACAAAATTACTGTACTACAACATTCTTTGCAAGTACATTAATTAATAAACCTGTTTCATTTATACTGTACTAATAAACCTGCATCATTTATACTAATGTATTTCATTAACTCATTAAATTTACATTTAATATCTGTTTAATAAATAATCCTGTTTCATTGATCCTAATAAACTTGTATCATTTATACTAATGTATTTCATTTAATCATTTAATTCACATTTAATTTCATTTTAATATTTGTTTAATTTCAGTTTCTTGCAGTTCATGGTGCTTTAGAGACACAGGGGGTGTATAATTAATGGGTCAGAGGTGTACAGTATTGTTTAATTATTATTACGTGACTTCGGTTGGTCTAGCAAAACGGATAATCTGGCAAGGCTTTGGAACCAAGGATGCTGGAAAATCGGTGGTGTACCTGTATTACTTCATCTAGTATTGTCACCCTTTTTTTTTATGTTCACCTTCACTAGTTTTGGTTTCACGTTTCAAAACTCAGGTTCAGCTGGACTAATAAGAGATCATTTTGAGAGTTTCTTCACAAAGGAACCTTCTTAGGGTAATATATTTTCCTGTTTAGCGTGCTTACCAAATCACCTGTTTTTGCATTTACATTTTAAGTAAATATGTTGCCATTAATGCTAAAATGACACTGTCTAGCCTGAATAGTGACAACACTTCATAGTGTGACAGTCCAGTCCAGTACAGTACTAGTAAATAAATTGTTAATTGACCAGTAACTGGGAGACTTTCATGCAATACTTTTCTCCTCTTTGTTTCTGTTGCACAATATCTAGATCATCTTAAATAAACATGAAATACTGTATATGACAGTTATGTACTGTTATACTTAAGAGGGCATAAGACAGTACAGTATCTGCTAAGTGCCAAAATGGAAAATGTACAGTAATTAGGAAATTGTGTTAATAAAAAAAATCTCATTACTGTTCTGTACAGGATCAGGTCATTAGTCGCGAGGTTAAACAAAAATAACAGACGATGATGTTAATGTGGTGAATATATATATATATATATATATATATATATATATATATATATATATATATATATATATATATATATATATATATATATATATATATATATATATATATATATATATATATATATATATATATATATATATATATATATATATATATAATATTTCACCAGGTGAGTACAGACTAGTCTGTACTCACCCCTGAAGATGTGAATTACACGAAAGCTTGGGAACTTCGTGTTTCTTCTTTCCTTGTGGTTATCAGCATATACCTAGATCACGCGCACCTACAGTGATTTACTTGCATATATATATATACCTGTATATATATATATATATATATATATATATATATATATATATATATATATATATATATATATATATATATATATATATATATATATATATATATATATATATATATATATATATATATATATATATATATATATACCTAGTAACCTACATTGAGGGGGGGCAAAGAGTTAAATTTAATAAATCATAAATAAATACAGAAATGGAAAAAAAATCAAACAAAGATTAAGAAATTAATATACCAGTATGTTGAGTTTTCAAAGTACAGTGGTCCCTCGGTTAACGAACTCAATCCGTTCCAGCAGGTTGTTCGTTAACCGAAACCATTGTTTCAATGGGTTTTTGGGTAATTGGTTCCAGCTCACCAAAAATTGCCTAAATTCAACAAAAAAGGTAGAAAAGTACACTTACTTTGAGGTGTGTATGTAGAAGGCCCTGGATGATGATGATGATGATGGGAATTAGAATGGGGTGGAGGAGAAGGAAGAAGAGAAGGCATTGGGGTGGAAGAGAAGTCACCCATGGTGCCATTTCACCCATAAAATTTAAGCTCTTGGTGTAATTCAAGAGTATTTCTTTAAATCAACACTGCACTGCATTATATATTGTCAATATGTAAAATATATTTCAAAATGACCAATAATTTGCTTGGAAACACAGAAAAAGCGTTTAGTTGAAGAGAGTCTCAAGCAAGATGTTACCTCCAGTGAAAACAGAGAGAGACTAACGCCTGTTTGCTGTGTTAAGAGGCTGGATGCCGCGCATTAAACTAGTCAATTTACCTTCAATTATGTTCAATAATTGTTAAAATGACTAAAAAATTGAATATTAAACTTTTAAATTATTGAATAGTATAAACTTCTTGATATTTACTAAAATAGTAAGGAATTTAAGCCCTAGAACCGATTAATGTATTAGCAGACTGATACTAAAGCTGGTTGCCCGGCCAGTGCAAGCGAAAACATGTTGAGGTTTGTTCGTAAGAAATTCGTTAACCGAATTGAAGATTCTTATGGAAGGCAGTTTGTTAACCGAAATTTCGTGAACCGAGGCGTTCGTTAACCGAGGGATCACTGTAAGAGAAACAATTGAGACCTTGCAATTGTGTGTAAATGAGGCAGAAAATCAGTCAGATCAGTAACCTGGGATTTGGTCACAATTTATGTGATGCCATATGGCAGTAGCACCTCCCTGTTTGATAGCTACCTACTACCTAGTTAGGTAAAGTATGTCGATTGTGATGTTAAACTATAGGATGTAGTCTCTTTATTATTGCTGTAATTAAAAAGACTTATACAGTACTGTACTGTATTATGTTGATGTTATTTTAACTGATTTTAGTTTAGGCAAGAGCTTGGTTGACTATTTTAAAATTAATTGCTAGATTAGCATAAAAACATTTTCATCTTACACATTTCTTAATTATTGGTGAATTTATTCAAAATTTCAGATACAAAGATTCCGTACAGATTATGATCTACTTTTTCTCAAACGTAGTGGGAAGAGTTCTTTTCTACCAAATGCTTTTGTTTTCCCCGGTAAGTTTAACTTTTTTTTTTTATATTACTGGTTGGTATGATGTCATAACATGTTTGATAAAAACTGTACTGTACAGTATGAATGTGGTTTTTACTAGATTGGGAAGGGTTTTGTCAAAACAATAGCATACATATTGTACATTTTCACATTCTTTACAAATTATTCTCATCAGAGTTTAAAAAGCAGTAGGTAATCTTCACATGCTTTACTTATTTACAGGTGGTGTAACTGCAGCATCAGATTTTTCCCAGGACTGGCTTAATGTTTTTAAAAAGTGTGGCTACTCGGCACCTGACCTAAAAAATGAATTCAGGTAAAGACTGCACTAGAAGATTTATTTTTATTAAAGTTAGACCTCTCTAAGTCAGACTTCTGTAAACCAAATGCCAGATGAGTGCTGGCACACTGTAAATGTACAGAATAAAACCCACAAAGCCAGTCTTGCCAGCCACCACCAGCGATGTTTTTCCAATCCCAACATGGCCGCTGTGAGAGAAGAGTGGCTTCACTGTCCACAGTTGATGCCATCTCCTCTCAAAACTTCCTTGGGTCAAACTCTCCCCAAATAAAAATTCTGCTGGGTCATAATACCAGGGCTTGGACTATGATCTTTAATGTCATCTATCATTCAGCATTAGGCCAGATGACGAGAGAAGGTCTCACAGTGAACCATGACTGTCAAGGCTGGGTGGTGAAGAGAACAGAAAATTCAGTACTGTATTGGATTACATTATTAGTGGTGAAAATTTACTTAATAAGTCCAGCTTAAAGCCTCATACTGTGTATAATTTAGATTTTCATAATAAATACTACAGTAGATACCAATATACTTTACTGCAGTATACAGTAAAAGGAGGGGCTGGGAAATGATTACTATCACCTGTATTACCTTTGAAACAAATGAAGAAAAAGAGCATGGTTGGTACAGGTAACTGGGAAATAGAATTACTTTTTTGTCAATTTAGTATTTATTTTATTTTATTTTTTCCAACAGAAATCCATCACCACTTCCAGAGATTTATGCTAACAAGCCACCTCACTACATCTTACCAGAGGTTGGGTTCAGGATCACAGCTATACGAGAAACATTTGAAGAGTGTGGCTTATTACTTGCCACCCACCATCTTGGGAGTTCTCTTGACCAACATGAGTTAGAGCAATGGCGTAAAGCTGTCCACAATGATCCCTCTAAGGCAAGAACTCATACTCTAGCATTTCACTGTTTTTCTCTTGATCACCCTGTCATTGTTCTGTACAGTATATTACAACTTTCACATTAAATATGGGAGACTCATTTCTTTATACCTGTCCTGCTGTGGTCTTTCAAAGGTTAAGTCATGAAAAGTGTGACAAAACAATTAAAACTATTACAGTATAGTCCAGTACTATCCCACCTGTTCCTGGTCATCCCTCTGATTGAATTTTACTGTAATCAGATTGACTTCCTATAAAAGCTCTTTTTATCTGATGAATACAAACATTGTTGTCCCCACCTTGGTGTTGGCATTATTATTATTGTCTGGTTAGATTTTTGTGTGAAGATCAGTAGCCTTAAAATGAAAAGTGCTTTCATCCTTTGGAATACTGTATTTTTGTTATTTGTGCTATAATGACCTCAGATTCTACATGCAATTAATAATTGGTTTATTTTACTGTAGTTTCTGGCAATGTTTCAAGAGTTGGGTGGGTGTCCAGCAGTTTGGGATCTTCACGAGTGGATAGATTGGTTCACACCAATTAATTGGAAGAACCGGAGATTTGACACAGCTTTCTACATAACCTTCATCAAAAATATGCCAAAAGTAACCAGTGATAACAAAGAAATTGCTGCTGTTCAGGTAAATTTGATCATGTAGACTCGTAGAGGAATGAGAGATTGTGAGCCCAGATGTGGGTGATGTCTGCATGGGCAAGAGCCTTCAGCACATGGGCTCTAATTGTTTCAGCTGCTAGTGGCATTTGCTTCCACAACACATATGTCACTTTCCTCAAGTTAGAGTCGTTACTGTGGTCTGCCTGGAGATATATAATATTACAAAGTTAATGATACCCCATTTTCATTAACACAGATAAAGGTGGTGTTTAAAGAGTCCACAGGAAATATACTGTACAGTTGTGTAATGAGAAGCACTGTATGACAAGGGAAAAAAATTGATAGAAATTTTGGTTTACAGGTGTCATCCCCTGCAGCTATTCTAGATCAGTGGCACAGACAAAATTTGATGCTGCCTCCACCGCAGGTATATGAAGTAAGTCGCCTCCTGAATTTTCAACGATATGAAGAACTAAAAAGGTTTGCCTGCAAACGTGGAAAATTAGGATTGGAACAGTATTTTCCTGTGTGGATTAAAGCCACTGATGGAATTATTGCAGTCCTGCCAGGTTAGTGTTTATCAAAATATAGAGTTATCATTTTCATTGTTTTTGAAAAATTCCAGCAGATGGAACTTTGGAATGGAAATAAATTACATTGTCGAATTATTTTTGTCCACAACTGTACATGGTATATATTTTTCACGAAAATTTCTCTGCTGGCCACACAGGTTTACCTTTTTCCCAGGATGTATTCCCTTAAATATACTGTGCTCCACCACTTGAACAAACTGTATATTATCCCTATACAGGTTGTACCTCTCTAGTCCGGCAACCTCGGGACCTGACCGGTGCCGGACCATGGAAATTCACCCTTTTCCTGGATAGATAGTGACTTGTGCTTATGCTTGGAAGCACTAGCACCACTTTCTCTGCATCATGGTCTCTTTGAAGACATATTGAAGGGTAAAATGTCGTATAGTAGCTTCTCAAATTTCGCGAGTTTTTAATTCTTAACGTATTTTATTGGAACACACACACACACAAAAAATAAATAAAAATTTTGACGGCGGAAACTTGAATTTATAATAATAATAATTTACGGTTTATTGAAAGAGCTTGGCAGCCAGAAGGCTGAAAATATACAGTTACATATTTGGGGAATGGGTTTCGAATTACAAATAATATACAAGTAACATAAGTGATACAAATAAGATATATAATAACTAGATGGGGAAAAGCTCAAACTACAGTGCATTTCAACATAGTGACAGTGCAAGGAGTAGTGTTTACTGGGAGTGAATACACTGGTTTATTACAGGTTATTGATAATTTTTACAATGGTTGGGACTGGGCTGTTCTTATAGCGATCAGTTCGTGCACGTATGGGCTGGATGCGGTTGTGGTGTCGAACAGCAATTCTCGGGCTAGGGATCTCAGGTGGTAGTAGGAGCCGGTGTCGAGGATGGTGTAGAAGCTTCTTACCAAATTTGCAGATGAGGTCGTGGTGATGGTCAGTGAGAGTCGAAAGGGTCAGTGTGTTGAGCGCTTCTTGATATGTGGAGTAGGAAGGGGAGAGAATAATCTTGCATGCCCTCTTGCACTTTTTCTAGGTGTTACGTTGTGTGGCATTTAGAGAGGAAGACCAGGTGGGGGAGGTATAGGTGAGCTTGGGAAGTATGAATGTTGTGTATACACTGAGGAGCTCAGGTGCAGGAACTCCGAGGGACTTGAGTCGGCGGAGGAGGTGGAGACGGAAACTGGAGGATTTGACAACTTCACTGACGTGTGGTTTCCAATTTAGTTTGTTGTCTATGGTGACGCCGAGAGCTTCGTGGAATCTACAACCTGGAGTGTGTTCGGACCTAGAGTAATGGAAGGAGGTGGGACAATGTCGGAGGAGAGGTTGATGTGCATAACCATGGTCTTGGTATGGTTGATGGTGACATGGTTGTTGGTGGCCCAGTTTTGGAGACTGTTCAATAAATCCTGAAGGGCGGTATAGTTGGGAGCAGAATTGTTGACGCTGATCCCAATGGTGGAGTCGTCGACATATTTCCAGCGAGCAGGGGTTTCTCTTAGGGCATCATTGATGAGCATAAGGAAGCAGAGTGGTCCCATCTTGGTGCCTTGGGGGACACCAAGGTGAGTGACTGAAAGGTAGAGACAGCCCCTTGGAAGCGTACAGCTTGGCGTCGGTCGCTGAGGAAGTCTGTAAGCCATGGTATAAGACTTCTCCGAAGCCCGAGGTCAGTAGCTTTGTTGATGATTATTTTGTGGTCGACGAGGTCGAATGCTTTAGTGAAATCAATGAAGGCGACAGCTACAGACGTTTTTCGTTTCTTGAGATGGCGGTATATGTAATCGAGAAAGCTGACAAGACAGTGAGTGGTGGAGGAAGTTTTCATGTTGCCAAATTGCTGAGGGTCTACGACTCCTACAATATCAGCATAAGCCCAGTCGAACACAAAACTTTCACAGATTAGGCTGGGTATTGGGGTGATTGCAATAGGTCGTAGCTGATTTAAGGATTGTGGGCTGGTTGACTTGGGCACTGGTGATACATAAGAGGTCTTCCAGTCAGCTGGGCATCTGGCTTGACTGAGAGAAGCATTGATGATGGAGCATAGGGGTTTAGCAAGCTCCGGGGAGAGCTCCTTGAAGAGTTTCATTGGTAAGTCAATGGGGGTGGTAGAGCGTTTTAATTTTAGTTTGTCCAGGCGTTTTGCTACTTCGACGGGTTTGAACGGCCCGCCAACGTGCAGACGACATGCATAATCGTGTAAACAGCGTCATTTCTCTTATGTACAAAAGATTCATTATTGTTTATTACTGAATGTCTTTTTTATTGAATTAATGTTTATGTGTGCAAAATGAGCAATACAATTCATTAATAATACGTAGAATATTAAAACACACGAGGAAATGACACAGCATTGTTTTCGTTGATTACAAAACCAGTGACTGACTGGTTCTACATATGAAACTGAAGAAAATAAGACCTTGGTTGTTGTGTGGGGTTATGTGGTATTGGTTCACACTCAGGATGGGATGGAGAAAGGAAACTCACAATGTGCTCACTGTATACATATTATATTGGATGTACAATGCAGCTTGTTGCTGGGTAGGTAGCATGGTAATAAGCATTGAGTAGAGAGAGCTGGGTGGTGAGGGTGCCCAGAGGAGGGACACGCGGCTTGAGGGACGCCAAGGTCGCTGGCGGGAACGGTAGCCGCCAGGCTGCCGCGGAGGAGGAGGTGTTGCTTGCTGGTGGCATGGAGTAGAAAGAGGCTGGTCGCAGCAGTGTCAGGCCTTATAAGGCGGGGGTAGGCGTGGGTTGATAGTTGACCCCTGCTCCGTGGGCGGCGCTGGAGGCGTAGGCTGGGGAATTCGAGAAGGTTCGGTGCTTGTAGGGGAGGAATCCACTACAATACTCCCCTTCCCCTCTGGGCGCGGCTGGAGGTTGGCAGAGTTGCGTGCCACATGTGAGGCAGAACGGGACGTGCGTGCCACATGTGAGGCAGAACGGCGAGGGCGTGGATGAGCCGGCCGCTAGGGGGGGCAACTCTGTCTAGATACTCGGGATCTGTGGGAGAAAAGAGGGAGAAGGCGGGTTGTGGAGGCGATGAATGTTGTGCTTCCCTCGCGACAAGTACAGAGTCGTCAGATGCGCCTGCTGGGGTGTGTGGGCCTGGGTCAGGAGCAGGGGCTGCGTCAGCAGAAGCGGATGAGGGCTCGTGATAGCAGCTGGGTCCACGACAGCAGCAGGGTGCAGGACAGTAGCAGGGAGTACCCGAGGGAGAAAAGATGGGTGTGTGGGTCCGCGTCAGTAGGAGCGGCAGGGGGTACTGCCGGGCCGGGGGCGGCGTCTGAGGCGGGCCGGGGGCGTTGGGGTCGGTAGGACGTGGTGCTTGGGGCAGGAAGAGGAGCTGGTGTCTGCTTAGAGTAGCAGAGCTGCTCTAGGGGTCGGTAGGACGTGGTGCTTGGGGCAGGAAGAGGAGCGGCTGTCTGCTTAGAGTAGCAGAGCTGCTCTAGCGTGTCTAACCTGCGGTGTAGAGACAGTAGTTGTAGAGCCGATGAGAGCTGCCTCTGCGTGGGTAAGCCAGTCTTCCATGTTGCTTGAAGACTGGGAGAGTGATCAGTTTCTCCTCCATCCTGTGTGAGTGCGAATCTCCGGGGGTCACCATTTGTGGGGTTATGAGATATTGGTTAACACTCAGGATGGGATGGAGAAAAGAAACTCACAATGTGCTCACTGTATACACATTGTATTGGATGTACAATGCAGCTTGTTGCTGGGTAGGTAGCATGGTAATAAACGTTGAGTAGAGAGAGCTGGGTGGTGAGGGTGCCCAGAGGAGGGACACGCGGCTTGAGGGACGCCAAGGTCGCTGGCGGGAACGGCAGCCGCCAGGCTGGCGCGGAGGAGGAGGAGGTGTTGCTTGCTGGTGGCACTGTGTAGAAAGAGAGTGGTCACAGCGGTGTCAGGCCTTATAAGGGCGGGGTTGATAGGTTGATCCCCCGCCTCCGTGGGCGGCGCTGGAGGCGAGGGCTTAAATTCGGTAGTTCGCTGTTTGTGGGAGGAATCCAATAAGGTTAGTAGCTGTAGTAAAATTAATATGGTTGTTTTAAGTAATGTTATTTAATGTTAATAAATGGAACAAAAGAAGTAGCTAACGATAATGGTAAAGAAAAAAGAGAGATCGCGTATGTAAGTGCACACACGTGAAAACATATCGTCATTACTTTACATAAGAGTATGAAAGCAACATTTATTTACTGTTCACATATATTTTAATTAATGTTTCTGAATTTGATTTTATTGAATTAATGTTTGTGTGTGCAAAATTAACAATACAATTTATTAAAAATACCTGGATTAAAACACATGAGGAGACGAGACGGCTGCCGGCATTGTTCATGTTAAAGCTTACAAAACCAGTGACTGATTGGTTCTACATATAAAACTGAAGAAAATAAGACCCTGATTGTAGCTGTAGTCAAATTAATGTAAAAAAAATTAATATGGTTGTTTGAAGTACCTGTAATGTTATTTAATGTTAATAAATGGAACAATATAAGTAGCTAACCATTAATGGTAAAAAAAAAAGTGAGACTGCGCGTATGTAAGTGCGCACATGTGAAAACATATCGTCATTACTCTACATAAGAATATGAAAGCAACACTTATTTACTGCTCATATATATTGAAGGGTTAAACGTTGTACTCTGTATAGACAAGCAGAGAGAGAAAGAGAGAGAGAGCAGCCGAACTGCCGGATGTAAACAAACCTTAATTTCCCGCGGCGGTTTTTTTTTTACGGGGATTAGCCCACCCGGGCATAGGTCACTGACCCACATTGGGGCCTGAGGGGCAAAAATTTAATACTCCTGTAATAATAATAATAATTCAGATAAGTGAAAAAAAAAAAAAAAAAAAGCTGCCTATCTACCTATTGGACAAACTAAAATCGTTCCGGACCACAGAATGCCGGACTAGAGAGGTACAACCTGTATTATGTACTGTAGTTCTAAAGCAGCTGATCTCAATACAACAATTATTTTTCTGCAAGTCTTTTCCACTAGGGCTCACTACAGTGGGGTATGCTATAACGAAACGATCCTACTACGAATATTCCTATAACGAACAGTTTTACCTATAAAATTGAGAATGCTATAACGAACGAAACTCCTACAATGAACATTATTTAAAAAAATTTTTTTTTTTTTTTTTTTTTACTAATTTATTGGTTTTGTATTACAAGTATTAATGATATTCTTTATTTCAGGGGTTTAGATGCATATTTATGCACTTTTTTAAAATTTTTACAATTTTATATATTTTTCAGTGTTAAGTGGTTGTATTTGGGGGCCTGGAACGGATTAATCCTATAACGAACGAATGCTATAACGAACAAGGTTCTAGAACCAATTAGATTCGTTATAGCATACCCCACTGTATTGTCATCATCCAAGCACAGCCATTTCCAGAATCATTGATGTTGAGATCATTCTTTTTCATACCCCTCAGTCTAGATTCCCAGCTTCTAAGGAAGCCTAATGTAAGGGGTTTGGTATAAGTCAGGGATGCTTATGAAACTTTCAATTTTGTTGGACTGGAGCCCCCTTGTACATTGAAACTGGTTGAGAGACCTTTAATGGATTTAGCTACAAGTACTGTATACAGGTATACAGACTGTCACTCCAGTGACAGTGTTCATCGCCCTTCCTAATGGTGGAATAGGTTGTATGTAGGAGATTGTGTCCTAGGGAAAGGGACAAGCTGGTTTTCCACTCCCTACTTGGTCTGTGTAAGTCTCTCATGAACATTTATAAGGCCTCCCTAACCTGTTGTAGATAAAATATATTAATTCTTCAAAATCCATTCCTAGGTGATGATATGTATCCAGAAGACCCTGATTATCTAGGAGAAAAGGAAATCCTTCAAGTGGATTTCACAATGAAAGAAATGCGGGAAGCAGCGACACATTTAAACAGGCTAGAAACCAAGTCCCTCTATGAAGTATGTTGTGTTGTGAACATAGAACCAAAGTATGGACATGCTTCAGCTAAAAATTTTGCACAGGAACTATTGACATCACATACGGTACATAGTAGAATGTAAAAAGTACTACCCAGCTATCACAGTATTGATCTCTGAAGGTTGTAGTAAATGAGAATGGTCCATCAGTCTCAATCAGTATACTGTACCAGTAGGTGCAGAGTAGTGCTTGTCACATTAGTCACCAAAATTTATATACATGTAGTACATATTTTTCGAGATTTATTGTTTGATTAATCCCTCTAACCACATAAAAGGACCCCAATGGAAATAAACTTATAATGGTTTTCTTGAGCACTTCATATCCAGGTCAACTTATTGCTTACTATATTGTGGGGTATACTGTACCTGCACTATGTACATGTTGAACCAATATTAATATGAATGATAATTTTACTGAATAGACATCTAACTAACTGGACAGATTTCTTCTTCTGTATTATGTTGCCCAACATTATTGTCAAATGTCTTATAAAATATCACTTATTAATTACGTATTTATAGTGATCAATTTCTCTAAAAAAAAATCATATCTGAAATACTTGTACTCCTATCCTTGGTAGTAATCTCTTTCTTTCAGTTGCAGTATTTATCTCTTCCAGAATTTTCCATGAAACTTACATTCATTCTCTTACTAAAATCCTCATCCACATTTTTTCTATAAATTTTGTTATCTTTTTATCTTCAAGTACTGAGACAGTACTCTTCCATCAAGCAGCCATCATACCAAGTAAAATACAGTATCCCAGAACCCTAAGCCTCTGGGAGGCCCAGAAGAGGGGAGATGACATTTAAAACACTTTTAATTATCATCATTTACTAAAAAAAATTGTTTTTAACTCAGATCCTTAATCAGCATGTCTAAAAGTACTGGTAGCTTCCCTAAATAAAATATTGAAAAAATCATTTTGAAAAATTCTGGTGAAAAAGCAAGGTACTTACCTATTGTACAGGCATTCACCGATTTACAAAGGGGTTCCATTCCAAATAACCTTTCGTAAATTGGATTGCATTTTCCCTTTGACTTACCGGTAAATTAAAAAGGTTGAGATATGTAACTATGAAAGAATACTTCCACAAAACATGTTTATAATAAAAAAATTTGGTGTACACAATTATTTGTACACCAACAATAAACATAAGGTAAGTGAAATACATACAGTACTGTAGTAATAATTTTGCACCTGTACTTATGGGAAAATATATTGGTGTAGTAATAGGGCTCAGTATGTAGCTTTCCATCCTATAATTGGAGATATGTTCTCTACTTAAAAATCCCAAGCTTGCTCCTTGATAAGTTATTGCATCATCCTATACAGTATTCCCGCTGCTTTGTTTACATGACTAAAACAATACCCGCAGCGGTTCATACTGATAATGTGGCAGCCGAGGCTAATGTAACACAAAATCTTCAAGGCGAGAGGAAAGAACAATTTGAAATAAACACAAGAAAACCTCATTATAAAGAATCTGGAGACAAAAACAGTTAGACAGATGCTGAGAAATGTGGTTGCCTTTGTAGATGAGTTGCACATCACATATGTGGAAGACTTGATAAATGCATAGTGCAGATAGTTGGTGAGGATCACCAAACCTAAACAAGCACAAGAGGTATATCTTGAAGAAGGCATGGAACTTCAAACAAGAAACAGAGTATAGCAATGTCTACATCATCCCCAACCTAACAATTCATCAACAAAAAAACAAAGAGCTCACAGACAAATTGAAAATTATGCAGTGACCTACAATTCAATTCAATTTCAAAAGTTTCTTCCATATTAGAGGAAAAGGGATCCTAGAGCTGTTACTAGGTACAGTCATGAGCCATAGTTTCTGGCCCAACCTGGTTGGAGGGGAGTCTTAGTTATGGGCCCTTTCTGGACGACGGCTCATTGTGTTGGGCGTGTGGCAACGCACACACTAACACCCTTGTCCACCGAGTTGAACGATATGTCGCCATCACTTTTTTGCCAACCAGATTAGCATAAACATAAGAATCAGTAACAATTGTTATAATGAACAGTATATAAATCTTAATTCATACATGTGACCTCCACGAAACTGGAAAACTATGAATACAGTATTGAATATTTCGGATTCAAAGCAGCTTCTTGGTGTTTGGTGAAACACATATTAGGCAGAATTGAATAGGAGTGCAGTAACATATCAGCAGCCGGAACAGGTTCAGCCATATTTTGACAAATAATTGGTAGATGTATCTCGACATGAGACACCTTGTGGTGATATTATAATTAGCTATAATTAAATGTGATAAGACACTAAAAGGCTACATTGTTTGAAGACCTTTATTTCAGAAGCTAATAAACCTCAGAATTTACAAGCACCAGACTGGTGCCTGCACTTCAGCACCTCAACTACCCTGAGAGATTGAAGCGCTTGAACTTGCCTAGCTTATACTACAGACGGGCAAGGGGCGACCTAACTGAGGTGTATAAGCATCTCAAGGGGCACTACTCGGTTGAGTGTCCTTACTTGGACCTGGCGGACGCTCACCCCACAAGGGGTCACAGCTCAAGATTGAAGAAGCCGCAAGTCCAGAAAACTGTGAGGGAAAACTTTTTCAGAGTGAGAGTTGTGAACTCTTGGAACAATCTGCTAGAAAGTGTTGTGACGGCACTGAGTGTAAGCTCTTTCAAGACAAGACTTGACCAACACTGGAGTAGGTTCAGGTTCATTCAGGAGCCGGTGCATGCCCAGTACTTGCCAACAATGCGTAACAGAGATGTGACCGATTGCCCAAGCGGCTAATGAGCTGATCAGTGGTGAAGAGGATAAAAGTAAAAGTAATATCATCAATATCCCCATGCATGTGACCACCTTAATATATATCTTTAATGTAATGAAATATATGGAAAGATTGGGTGTGGTAGGTACTAGATGGACCTCCAGGAAGATGTGATGAGCACACAAGATTGGAAATACTATACCGTATATAGCATTGAAGGACCTTTGAGGACGGATGTGATGCACAGTTGTATGAGGTGAGACCATGATATGTGTTTTGAGGCTGTGTTACAGATGAGGAAAACCAAAATAGAGCACATCTGTCTGGCAGCAAATGGAGTCTGTATTGCTCCTGACTGACAACTTTGCATAACAGTAGGAAAAGTTTACAAGAGTGAAATATAACATTTTATGGCCATACTTCTCCTTTGTATATGTTGTATATCAGCAGTTTTACTTATGGATTGAGTCTTCATCAAGGCTTTGTATGAAGGCTCCTGGAATATTTTTATCTTAGCACTTTTTAGAAACCTTTTTTTATATTTGCCTTTCATTTCAATATTTATAAATAATGGTTCCTTATTTAACCTTTATTTATTTGTTACATATTTAGTAAAAAAAATTCACATTATTATGTAAATGGGTCATCCTTGTCTTCATATAAGATTGTTGAACCAAATAATTGACCAAAAAAATTAATTCCTTTTGAATTCACGAGCATGTTACAATTTAGACTTTATTCTTTATTTCAAATTTGAAAAAAAAAAGTCTCCTTTCCTAAGCACATTGTAGTTACAAGTAGTATGTCACTAACAGTATACAGCACAGTATGGTATTCTAATTGTATAATATATATGGTATATGTAAGCCAATATTGATCTACTACATTTATTGTTCCATTCAGCACAACAATATACAACCTTAAACATTAATATACATAGATTACATGTCTATATGTACAGTCATTCAGGTTATTAAAACTACATTTAAAATATGGAGACAGGTTTCCATATTTTGGCTAATATATACAGTTGAATCAAATAATTCTGCTGGTTGATTACACATTGTCCAGTTCAGTAAATAATTTTATAATTAAATCTGTACCATATTCTGTTCTTTAGCATTCAAATATATATGTACAGTACACTCAAAAGCTGCAGACATTAAACAGAGGAAAGAAACATTAGGACACAGTATGAGAAATATTTAGAATTCCTAAGAAATGCAATAACAATGTTATTGTCGAGAAATTAATGGTAATACTGTACGAACAATAGTGTTAGATAATAAAACATTACCCGAATAACTGAAGCCATTGAAAAATATAGGTAAAGTTTACACAAGACTGAATTTGCATGATCAGTGAAGTGTCAACAAAATACTGTACAGTATTGATTAAAAAAGCTTACAATACATATTTGTAATATATAACTGAAGTGAGATCTGTCATTTGAATAGTGAATTACATAAAAAAAGCTTTGAAATGCAGTACAGTACATGCACATTCAACCAAAGATGCATTGACCCCACCCTGGCTCTTGTACTTGCAATTTAACCTGGCAATACTTGGTGAAGTACAGTGCATTGTGATTGGAGGATCTATTTTCAGATATACCACTGTTAGCATTAATATTGAACAATCCATCGGTAGCATTTTTACATTAATAAACTATCCATCGTTATTTAAGATCACGAGAAGTTTCCAAATATTAGTACATTTACTTAAATAATGAATTTATATTAATGTATTGGCAACTCAACTACAAACCAGGGCTGCCAAAAGATTCTCACATCAAATTTTCTTTATCATTTAAGAAAATATACAAATATTTGAAAGCTTCTCATAACCTTAAATAATGCTGAATAGATTATTATTATAACAATGCTACCTATGGATTGTTCAATATTTATGCTGACAGTGATACAGCCAAACAAATATCTGCCAAACACATAACCACCAATCATAATCCCCATTACATACAGCCTTACCTTACCAAGTACGTATTGTTAGGTAAAATTGCGAGTATGAGAGCCAGGGGTGGGGTCGATGCGTCTTTGGTTGACTGTACATATTAGTACTAAATGAGTGCAATATGTATTTGAGTTAGCTTGCTCAACAATGCAATAAGTGTACACAGTATGGTAGTACCAAATACAAGATTTTAATAATGTATTTAAGTTTGCTCAACATGAAAGGACCCAACACTTACTATAAGGTGGAGGAAAATCCTAGTCTCTGATCCTCATTATGTCTTAGATAAAAATCTCACTTTATCTGGGTCGAGGCTATAGACTTATCCGTTCCATCACACAGAGAAGAGTAGAGACATCGGTCTAGACCTTCTCGTGGTTACACATGAAACCTCTTGTTCCTTCCATATGTGTGAATACCTCATAGAGTGATCTTCCAGAAACACTCCTATACTGTATTGTCTATACTTCATGGATATTTTGTATGAGCAAACTGTTTACATAATTACCTGGCAAGTGGTGTTGATTGGTGCAAAATGAGGAGTGTTTTATTACCGTACTGGATGAGTAACTTGAAAGAAACAATGTCTTAAGTTTCCAAAATTATAGTACAGTATTCTAGTGTGTATGGATGCTTGCAAGCATAAACTCATAGATCATCTTATTAACATCATTGCCTCTCAATCTACCATCCTGCTTATCAGATCACCTATTTAAGTAACTCTTTTAGTTCAGGAGTGCTAACTTAACAGATGTTAGACCTCAATCAATCTTCAAATGGCACCCCTATCCCACCTCACTCAAGGATTTTGTAATACTATAAAGACCACATGAATCCTGACTGGCTAGTAAGCTGACTAGAGGCAAAGTATTTACTGAAGATTTATAAGGCCACATAAAGGGTATATTAATTTTGTAAACTCCAGTTACATTTGCAGTAAAATTTGCTAAATTAAGAGACAATGTTGTGAAACTTGTGATTTTATAATTTCATATATGAATTTATCTTTATAATATAACAGGAATAATCATTATAAAGCATAGTTCTCTTAGTGATTTCAATACAGATTACAGTACTTTAATAAATTTAAATAAGGATTATCAGTAATAAATTTATACATATAAACTGACCTGAATGTTGCAACCATATACAAGGCAAATTTTTACATAAAAACAGTTAAAGTACTCTTATCGGGAAGTTTTAGAGTAATTTATACATAGAAACTTATCAGAAAGTTTAATGGAGACTAGAAAGGCACTGATCAAGTAGAGTATAATGCTCAGTTATAAGCAAGTGTGTACAGTATTTGAGTCAATGAGTATTTTGGTAATTGCTGTAAACTTATTAAACATGCTTTGTGACATGAAACATCAAATATAATTTTCAATGGTATTTGCATACTGACAAATGTACACATGTTAACTTTGATGGCATACAAATGTTAACTTTCAATCCAGGTGTTGTATATATACGAGGAAACTTCTCAAGCTCAATAACAGCCTGTATATATAAACAATTAACACTAACACTCATTAAAATTGGGAATTATTTATTTTAAATTAAACTTGCCTTTCACAATAAGAATTTACATTAACAATGCTGCTTATCAAGTGAAGTGACTCAAATTATAAGCCTATAAGTCACTTAAAGTTTGCACACATTTTCCATGGAATTACCGAGATAAAAGTTATATGTGTACTTAAGAGCTATGACTTGCATCTCATACATTCTTCAGAATAACAAACATGTGTCAATGAATGCATCACACATAATCATAATCATTTCATTTTCATAAAAGAATCTTAGATTATTGTTTCCCAACAAATGTGGCCTAGAAAGACTTACAGATATATGTTCTGTAGACAATCCCACTCAGTAACAATTTATACAAACTATCTCATGCCATAACAATAATACAGGGTATATAAAATTAACCAAATTTTGCCAATTGACGTGAAATTTAAAATATATTGGCTCATAAACTAAGTCTTTTGAACTGAAATCCAACAGGAAAAAATGGGGGCAAATAATGCAGCACCAATCACCCCACTTTCAGTAACCAACCCAGATGAATGCAAACACAAATGTACATGTTTTGTAACCAGGATTTCAATGATCTAGTTGAAGATATTGACTTCTTTCAGAATCTGTAGCAAGACTCACTGCCATCTATGACAAGAAATGGTTCAACCACTATAACAGGTAGTAATTTAAATTGTACAGTACTATATATATATATATATATATATATATATATATATATATATATATATATATATATATATATATATATATATATATATATATATATATATATATATATATATATATATATATATATATATATATATATATATATATATATACACAGTATACACACACACTTTACAGGTACTGTATACTGTATTGTTTTCTAAGTACAGTACTGTACCATGTTTTAACAGGAATATCTTTACAATATGATCTGAAATGCATGGCAGATGCCATTCAACTATGTATCATGAAAATATAAATGCATTTTGTGATTGACTGTGTTTCAGTGAATCACATTTAATGCTATTTTTATATACCTCTACTGTACTTGCAATAAATCCAAATAAAAGTATTTACATTAAACTTCTATAGCAAGCACCTTGTGATTTATTACAGCACTCTCAGTTTTATTTAGTGTACAGTAATACTGGAATACTGTACACTCAAGAGATAGAAGTAATTAAGTGAGACACTCAATATGTCTCGCTTCATCACTAAATGCTTGTAAAAGAAATGTTTCACTTTGTATATCGTAATGTTTGGTGCAAAGCAAGCAATATCATCAGCTTTCATGGCACATACTGTACTGTGTCTATTAAAAATTTTTAAATAAATTTTAAAATGTGATATTATACCTGGCTGCTTATTAGCAAACCCTTGTTCATAATGCTTATGTAAGAAGCCTGCATTAATTTCAAGTGGATTGGCATTGCTATATTCAATATTAGATGGTGCAACATAATTGGCACATCATGCACTTCTTGCTGAGATATGCATGTAAAGCATACGAGTAAGGTATTTTATATTCTGAATAATCTGTAATGTACAACTTAATGAGAGTGACATAGTGTATAATATACAGTGAATGCATGATTCTATAACTACATTATTTTAACTTTACTTTGCTCTAAACTCTGTCAAATTTAACCAAATTTTTGCTCATGGGTCAGAGATCTGTAATACTGTATTATTTTTTCCTCAGATTGTGTTAGTCTACTGTAAATTATTAAAAAAAAGTTTCATAAGGTGATAATGAAGTGATAATTTTCTTTTCAATTTTAAAAAATCTGAGGAAAGTACAGTAATTTACACAAAGACTTCTCGTTTTGATCTAGGTGTTACCCTCGAAGATGTTCCCAGGCCCAAGTCACTGGAAAAACGAAAAGCATAACCATCACGAGTAACTCGTGCTCTCCGTGTCATGGTAGCTACACGAAAGATTCTTTCTGATTCTGTATTTTGTGTAACTCTTAAGCTTAAGTTACCCTTCTTGGCTGTTTTGTGGTCATTGAGAACTTCTCTAGGTAATGGAATGTTTTCTGTGATTGTTTCACGAGGAGTTACCATGCCAGTGAAGGACCGAGTACGAAGTTTTTGTGACTTTAATGATTCCTGGGAATCTTCACACAGGTATGAATCAGGAACTGCAAGACTGATCTTACGTGTTAGTTGGTTTGTTGTACATGATTCTTTGTTGCATGTTCTGGTGTGGGGTGAAGGGTGTGGCTCTGATGATGAAAACGTGTTTTCTTTTATTGTTGTGATGATGTTGTCACCATAGTGATCACTACTTGGTACATAAAATGTGTTGCCAATTGTTGCACCTCCCTGTCTAAGGGAATCTAAATTACCATGATTCCAAGAGTCTTTAGTACATTCTATGTACTCCTCTGGTGTTGTGGTACTAACTGTCACAATATTTGTTGTTTTGAGAGAAGTTTGCAACTCTTCAGTTCTCACATTGACAATCTTAGCTTCATTATCAGCAGGTTCAGGACCATAATATTCATCATCAGGTTTTACATAAGCACCAAAATATGGCCTAGAATTAATAACCACACAGTCATCTGAAGATGCCTCATAAGAATTACTATCAGAAGCTGTCCCAGAGGTACTGGCAAACCTGGCTCGCAAAAACTCCATCTTACTCATTGCATTTTGTTGGTTATATCCTTTGTCCCTGTGGTAAGTTAGCTGATCTTCCCGCAGAGATGTCCTAGCAAAGTTCCTCCTTCCATTTTTCTTATGAGTTGGAGACTCTCTTAGAGATGCTCCAGCAAAGGATCTGGCCTTTAAGAGAACTCTAGTGTGGGTGGCCATATCTGAGGAAATCCTAAAGGATTCTGGACGGGCACTTCGATCTCTATTTCTTGCAGATGGAGGAATAGAAACTCTTGTGCGAACAAAACGCCGCCCTTCAGGAGGACAGAAGCTCCCGAGACTACCTCCAAATGTCTTATCCATTTCTAGGTCACAGGTGTTTGGGTCAGTAGTGGAGATATAACAACTGCTCTTAGAGAGACAGGAGGTACTGATTGAGCGTTGAGTAGAAGAATTAGAGAAAGAGGACGAATCGTCAGTATTGATGGTAATATTGATGTTAAAATCCTCATTGGTAGTGATGCTATATCTTCTGCTTATCTTGTTACTGGTAAAGTTGGTGATGTTGGTCGTGCCACAGTCTTCATCATTTTCCTTTAGGTTGCTGCTGCTGCTGCTGCAGTTAATATATTTCATACTTGTGTTGTTTGTGGTGCAGATGCTGTTGTTGGCAGTGGAAGTTTTGGTACTGGACTGACTGGCGTTGCTGGGAAGTTTGATAACATTGTGGTTTGGTTGGTGGTACTCAGTCTGCAAATACAGTTTGTAGTTATAAAAAAATTAACATTGTGGTTCGGTTGGTGGTAACCAATCTGCAAATACAGTTTGTACTCTAGTTATAAAATGCTGAACACAAGTAATAATTATTGTAATACAGTACTGCAGTAAGAAAAATATTAATTAAAGATACTAGTTTACTGTATAGGTAATAATGAGAGGCCACAGTCTATTTGTTAAACTTAATTTCTATATGATCAATCTCATCAACCTAATGTATTATTTATCTTTAAAAATCAAATTCAGTGATGAGTAACAAGATAAAAATACTGTATATAAATTTGCTTACAAATCATGAACCCACCACATATACAATGCAATATATACAGCATATGAATATTATCCAGACCCTGAAACACAGAGACTTTAGTCAAGGTGTGATCAATGTCGTCAACTTAAAAGCACTAGTCTTGGTTTGGCATAGGTCAGAGGAGTAGACAGTAATGCAAAGGCAAATGATATGTACAGAAGAAAGAGCACACACTATGATAGGATAAACCAAGGACATATAAGGACAGTATATCATAAGAATCCAACCTCTCAAACCTTTAACATCCATACACTCATATCCAGTTTGTATATAAAACACAGTACTGTACAATATGTCTATCTTAAACATGTTACAGTGAATAATCTCTATAATACTGTATGTTTCTTTTTACCAATTGTTTGCGAGTTTCTCCAATAGCTGTAATCTTCTTGATTCTTGGGGGATTTTAATGGTGAAGTCTCCTTAAGTCCGTGTTTTATTCTACAGTGATATACCTGTATCTCTATGAGGACACACTGGTGAATGAAGCAGTCAGTACAGTACAAGTTTGCACAAAGTTCAGGAAGAGAAGAAATTTCATTATTCTACCAACTGCTTAACTGGAGTCACTCAAAAGACTCACAATGGGGCTGTAAACTCAATTATACTACACCAATACAGTATGTATTATATTATCTACTCTCACTGGTTATTTCACTAACCTGTAATAAAACTGTATCACTACTGAATACTGTACTGTCTGTCCTAATGGGAAAGGAAAAAACTAAGAGTTTTAAGTTCTCACTGATAAAAAAAGCCTCAACAGGTATTTAGAAAAAAATCACATACAATTTATAAAGGAACATATACAGTATATCAAGGTTATTCATATATATATGTACAGCGCTGTACATCATTTTCTGCATTAAAAAAGATAATTTACATAAGTGAAGAAATAATTATAATCATGTTAGTAAAAATAGTTCTTCACACTTGAAAATAATACAAGTACCACAGGAACAATGAAGTTTATAACATGATACAGATTGCAGTCAGGGATATCATTCCTCTTTAGTCCTCTACACTCTACTTATTATTAACACGTGCATGTGATCTTTTATATACATCACCACATTATTGTTTAAGTATTCAAGAGTGACTTTTAACTTCACCCAAAAAATATTTCACACTGAACATGGGATGGTTCGTAAAAACAGGGTACTAACTTGGTGCTCCACATGGCACAAACTGAACAGTACTGTACATTGACCTCACTGTACCAATATGTAATGTACACTCCATGAAGCTGGGTAGTGTACACCATTACTTTTCATTGGTAAGTAATGTTTACTTGCACTGCTCTGGTAAATTTTAAGTTCCAACCCATAAAGCAAGCAAAATTAAATTAAAACTCACCATCCATTTGTCAATTGAAAATATAAATGGGTGTTTATTTAAATGAATCCTCTCTCTCTCTCTCTCTCAAATATTTCCATAATAATAAGCAGACAGATATACAGTACTGTACCTGCAGGGATGACTGTTTAATTGTCACGGGTAACCTCAGTCCATGGTTGGATAACTAATAGGTTGTCAGTTAATTGAAAATATCCAAAGGAGGGTCACCACTACAGTCTCGGTAACCCAGAGAGATTGGAACGTATGCAGTTGTCTAGCTTATATTATAGGCGAACAAGGTGAATTAATTGAAGTCTGTAAACACCTCCGAGGTCATTACTCAGTCCAATGTTCATATCTGGAGCTGGCGGATGCCTGCCCCACTAGGGGTCACAGCTTAAGCTCGAACAAGCCAAAGTTCAGAAAATTATCAGGGCAAACTTTTGGCGTGAGAGCTATAAACTCTTGGAACAATCTGTCAGAGTGCGTTGTGACGAACTGAGTGTGATCCCAATCATGACCATACTTGACAAGCTCTGGTGCAGGTACAGATATATTCAGGAGTCAGTTCATGCCCAGTACTTGCCAACAGTGTGTAACAGACGTGACCAAGCGGCTAACGAGCCGATCAGCGGCGAAGAGGCTAAAAGTAACACTCAGATCATGGAAGGATAACTAATAACACTCACACCATGAGAGGATAATTGTTAACACACACACACCAGGGGAGGATAGCTATAATTATCCCATTTTCTTTCGTACAAAATACCCACCATACTGTACCAGACACCGCGGTATCTTGATTGGATACATAACATTACACACATACACACTCAAATGTCTTAGGTGTGTACGTGATTTGACACAATTTCACACAGAACATTTACACTCAAGTTGCGAAATTTACACAGTTTTCACTTTGAGGATTGTATACACTTTCACACTCATCCGTTCAGTGTTGTGAGAGGCGTGTTATCCAGCGTGACTATCAAATACCGGTTTTTTTTCCCCTGGTACTCCGATTTCCTCCTGTACTAACACTGGACAATGGAGGGCGGGGAGAGATTAAACAAGCCGCTGGATTCCTTTCCCCGTCAAATCGGTAGGCATAATTATATGACATAATATTATATAAATAGACATTTCTGATCTTCCAGTGATAAGAATCGAAATGTCTATCAAAATACTGTCAGTTGCTAAAGTTTGGATATCAATATAAAAGTTTCCTCTGTGAGTCAACAAACAGCGGGCGAGACACGTGCTGGTGGGGCGGGAGGAGGCCTTACACACGCTGGTAATAGGATAATGGTGGGCAGTGTTGATGCGCCTCACTACTGGAGTCTGGAGGCCGTGTCAGAGGTGCTGCTTCCTTCACAAAGTCACCCAACACACACGCACAAAGATTATTTCTATCATGCTCAGTTAAATAAACAAGTATATACAATTAAGTGTTGTCTAAAGGAGTAAAGGGTAATCCTCAGAGCATAACACGTCAGAACCAGATGATGATTATGACCTGCGGAGACGACTAGTATGGGCGAGTGTCTTTCTAGGGGTCCACCTCACCTCCCCTAACTACTTCTGTAGAAGTGGGGCTCGTTAGGTTTGGGGTTCGTTAGGTTTGGGGTTCGTTAGGATTTGGGGTTCGTTAGGATTTGGGGTTCGTTAGGATTTGGGGTTCGTTAGGATTTGGGGCTGATTAGGGTTTAAAGCCCCCTTGAGAATGGGGCCCATAAAAACTGGACCCCAATTCCAGTAGTTAAGTACAGTCGGGGCCTAGTAATACAAGGGGGGGGGGAGCTAGTACAACTAGTATGGTACAGGTAGGGTCTGGCTTCATGGTTTTCCACACTGATACTAACAAGACTCTTAAACACGTGGCGGTAAAAGTCATTAGATACGCGGCTGTCCCGGGAGGCTGAGTCACACAAACATACACGCCAAGAAATTTCTAAAAAAAAACTGAAACTGTGCAATTGTTTGTATAGTGAGAGTAGCCACCATAACTACTCCGTGCGTCAATATATGGTGATGGTGACGGAGGACTGGAGACGGGAGAGTGAAGGATAGTGACTGGGAAGACTTGAAGGAGGCTGGCTGGGACGTGTGGGTGGGGTCGTCTTGTGGTGGCCAGCTTGGGGGGGGGGTCATGAACACACACCGTCGGTCACACAGTAAACAGGTAAAAGTGTACTAAACGTCCGATATATATGAGCACCTCCCACACCGTCATATCTTAGCTCTTACTTCCTGTACTTTATGGTTCTGTTGTAAAGTTCCCTTCTATCTGTCGTGTAAAACCGTTGGTAGTTAGTCGAGAAAAAATTATGTATATGTGTGAAAAGTCTTAAAAGTCTGAGCAGAAACAGTGAAGACAATATACGACAGGGAATTTCTACAGCTTGCGAGTAGAAGATCCAATTCCTGTGTTATAGAGAAGAACGGTCTGAAGTGTGGTGTGGGTGAGCCAAGTCGTGTTCGTACTGGGTGGTGAGGAGACTTACGTGAGGTCGTGAGTGTGAAGGGAGAGAGAGGGAGTAATATTTATCATGGAGGTCAATAACTGCTAAGTATGAGGAGTAATGGGATATAAACAGTGGACTAGGAAGGAGAGGAAACAGGAGTTATGCTAAGGATCGGACAGCAGTACCAAGTCACTCTAAAACCTCACGACGCAACACACACTTCAGTCACTCTGTACCAGGGAGCTCCTCAGACAGTCACGTCACCAAGGTCACTGATATGATGGGAATGTAAACAAAGTCAAGAGCAACTCCCTAAGTGGTGTCTCAGTCAGTGTACAGAAGAGTGAGGGAGGGAGCGAAGGCGTCTTTTGAACATACTCGTCCCTCCAAGGCTATCAGGTTAGTGTCTAGGTCCTGGACAACAGATGAGGTTGTCCTAAGTCCTCACATGCTTATTTCAAGACCGTCAGATCAGAGATAAAAAGCGTCAAACATGCACGTATAATGAACAAGATTAGATATCCCTTTCCCGGTTCATTACTTAGGACACAGTTGGTCTGTGTGGAGAAAAAGAGTCACCCAGAGGCAGATTATGAGAGTGTGGTAGTGGGGAAGTTCTCAGCGAGCAACACAGCGTCGGTCAACACGAGGACAGAGGGAAGCCATGTGCGTGGTAGTTGATGATCTTATTGACAAGTTACCACACACTCGTTTCTTTTCCGGTGGTGAGAGCAAACAACGAAGCAGGTGTCTTTCAAAACCTACCATTCGGCTTTTCTATCATGGTTCAAAGCACACATGACAGGAATTATGACACAAGCTGATAATTAAAACTCTCAAAGACCTGCTCAGCCTGCAGCTCACATCACTGGTAGAATATGAAACGGGGGTGTGGGAGGGGAAGAGGTAGTGGGAAAGGAGGAGGTAGGACAGGGAGATCATGTCCTCTTCCACAGTAACAAACTAACACACACACATTGTCCAGTGTCCTGTAACTTCTATGTCTTTCTTGTGTGTAATAGCAAACAACTAAAATATATGACCTTGTTCAGTTATTCGTATATCATCTATTTTCGTCTGTACAGGTAAATATGTTCACCTTAAATAATTATGAACATGTAATAAATAACATTACCTGTGATCAACAATTCATATGTTTCAGTTGTTAATGAGGAAAATGAAGAGAAATAAACAGAGGAGGGTAAGAGAACACTGGCCAGCTCTAGTAGCGTGTGAACGAGGTGGCCACAGTCTGGGCGTCACAGTGATCACGTAGAGTAGTAGACAAAGGTACAAGAATGGCTCCCTACATATCCCCATAGTTTCGTCAATCAAATGAGAAATTAAGAATTATATATAAATAGCATAGAACATTAACATATAAACAAGAAAACACGATAAATATCAAAAGCACCAATAGAGTAATATCAGAATATTAGTACAAATGTTTAAGTCATCATGATTTAGAATTACACAAACATCAACATAAAAAAAAAATAGATTAGGCTCTCCCCGGGTCAGTTAAATATATACAAACAGCATTAACATACAAACATCACCTACAAAATATCAATACCCATCAAGCATACTCTTAATCGCTAAGGCAAACACGAAAACAAAAATCATTAGTACATAACCATATAACGTTCCCCCCACATGTAAGCTTTAATGTTTATTTTGGCTGAAGAATGAACCCGACATGCAGTATATGTTCACCTAAATCATCCACGAGATAAGGCACATGCATTGAACCAGGTTAGACAGAGGTTATAGAGATGTGAGTAAATGGTATAGAATTATAGATGCTGTACTCACACACACGCACACACGCCTCCTATACCCGTGAGTAGCGTAAACGTGTGTGAGGGAGGCGAGCATTTATAAGGTTTGATCCCCTCACTAACACGTAAGACTTTTATTACCATGCAACTTCCAAAATAACAAAAAGACTGTTCAATGAGCTGTTCCGTGAAATGCAAATACTAGAACCATAGCCGGACCAATAATTAATGAACCGTTCTAGGAGCTGGTGGTAGTAGTAGCGTTAGCGGTGGTGATTTAGAGAACCACCAGCGTGTAGCACTTACCACTAAGAGGATCAAACCAACCATGCAGACACCCCTCTACCTGTCTTCTGCACGGTGTAATCCATCGTTAGGAGGGTAAAAATAACTACCTCACATACACCACGAGATCCCAAACATAACTGCACCAAAATAACGTGACAAGAGACCAATTGCATGACTAAAAAACGTGAAACATGCAAAAGAAAATATTGCTTCTACGTGAGCTAAGAGTCCCAGGCATCCATCAATACAAAGCGTCATACCAAGAGGGCAACGACACACACACAGGGAAGACTGCATCATGCTGCGCGGGTCATACAATATCTTGCTAAAGCCTTCAGTCTTCCCTACAGTGCGGTGTGACGGTAAAAAGAAACGCACTGAATAGTTTCTCAAAGATTCCTACGTTACATTGTATCTTTTTTATCGTAATTAGATATTAATAATGATAAACGGTAGCATGATATTGATGGCAGTCAAAACTATAGCAATAATTGTATTGGGTCTACAATAATTAATCTAGTAATATTATACATAGTTATAAAGGGTGGGAACATTTAATGTAGGAACCTTCAGGAATGCTAATACAGTGTCGGCAGTTAAGCACCACATTCTATACGGTGTTTCAGGAATGCCAGCTGAAGTGAACGTGTCAGCTGAAGTCCACTACCTGTAGTGAACTCCTTGAGACGCGAGGTCTGAGTGCCACAGAACTCTCTTCAGCGATACCACAACCATAGGGAGTTAAGTTGGGAGTTTACTGTGGTTAATAATATTTTAGAGGTGTAAGACGAAGCTGGTAACAGTGAGTGATTCCAAGACTGGTAGTGAGAGTTTTGTGAGAGTCATGCAAGTGATGTGTGAGTGAGTGTGTGTGTAGGCTGTGCACTTATAAATTATAATAGATTAACAAGAAGTAGGATCATAATGAGTGATCAGTGGTGTGTTCAGTATCGGCTAACACAAGTAGTCGTGGGTAAATGTGTGAGGAGAGAGAGTGAGTGTGGGAACATTAATACTGAGTAGGGTGAGTTAGACTAGATACAACGGTGAGTATAACTGCACCACTACACGGTGAGTAGGCTGGTCCCGGTGCTTTAGTGATAGTAGTGGTGGTAGCGGTGGTCATACCGTTACATTATGAGTGCCTCGCGGTAGGGTGTGCGGACGAGGGGTCGGCTCGCCGCTGCTGTTGGTGGTGGTGGCGGCGGTTCTCGGGGTGGTGCTGATGGGGTCTTTCTGCAGTACACAGCCGCTGTAACCACAGTAGAGCTGGACCGTGGGCGGCCCACTGGAGTGTCCGGCTCCCACCTGTGGCCCGCACGACTTGGGGAGGGACCGCTCAGGGCCGCACTGCCCTCGAACACCCTCATATTGGTGGACTTTTGGGTATTAGTGCGACTCAGGGTGGCGGTGTGGTCACCCTCAGGCCGCCCTGACTGTCCAGTGAGGGCCTCGGAGTCAGGACGCCCCAACAGATGGGCCGAGGAAGACCGCCGTCTGTTACGAGCGTTTGGGGCGTATGACTTGCGTGACCGCATGAAGGCCAAATTGGCCATGCCATTATGGTCCCCCTGGCCATTCTGGGCCACGTGTGGACTGTTGGTGGCCCTCTGGAAGGCGTGGTGGGTAGCTCTGGAGGACTGGGTGGGGCTGGAGTCCGGACTAGTATGAGCGGCCTGGAAGGAAGCAAGCTACACTACCTGCACCTCCCTCACCCCCACCTGGACACACTCACTACCTGGCCAGGACCTAGCTGGAGACAGGACCTCCAGCAGAGTAGGACCTCCAACAAACTAGGGTGTCTACCTATCTAGGACTTCCACCTGGTTAAAGCCTCTACCTAGCTAGAGGTTTTATACAGCTAGGAATTTCGACTAACTAGGACCTCTTCCCACAGAGAGGCTTTACCTAGCTGGAGCCTGTACCTAGCCAAGCAAGTGGTTAACACAAAAGTTTATTATGGAAAGTCACTCTTTTTAATCTAAAGCTAAATTAGTATCTAAAGCACTATTAACACAAGAAGCTTCTACAGCACAGCTAGGAGTCAGAGCTACATGAAGGTTCTGTTCTGCTCATATTCACAGTAGCGGAAAGTGACATTGGCCATAAGGCTTAACAGTACCTACCATGGTGTTGATAAAGTCCCTTGATGCTGGTGTTTACAGAATCCCCCGAGAAAGTTACACGAAAAAAAAATCTTTCTGTTCTCCATCAGTTTCAGCACATAACTGGATTTCTCACCACATCCGCTGTGACTCTGGACTTGGAGGAGGCATTGCATTCCTACCTACAGGTCACAGCGGACAGTGAAGAAGACTATTATATACAGGAAACAGTGAAGTACATAATGATAGTTTGGATATGTAATTTCCTCAAGGGACTCCGTAAACACATATATATATATATCAAGGGACTTTGTAAACACCCTAACAATTAATACAGTTATATTCATACAGTAATAACAATAAACAGTATTAAAGTCTTACCTTGAGGGAAGATCACCTGATGATTTTATAATTAATTAATCTACTCGAGGTGCAGATATGACACACATTGAGCGCTTATAGTACAGGTAAAGAACTACTGAACCTAACAACTACTGGTAAAGTCTGTCTGTCTGTCTGTCTGTTTGCCTGTCTATCTATCTATCTATCTTTTACCTATCTATATATCTATCTATCAATCTATCCTCTCTCTCTCTCTCTCTCTCTCTCTCTCTCTCTCTCTCTCTCTCTTTTTTACTCCCTCTGTCGTGAGGGTCGTTCACCACCATCACCCAGGGACGTATTACTCCTACAGACACTCCCTCAGCAGTACTTCCTGCACCCCTTCGGGAGCACCACCACTAGAGGGGGGACGAGAGCGGCTACACCACTACACCTCCACAATATATCGGCCCTTCAACACCCAGCACGGGAGCCTAGAGACACGAGGCCGATGTAAACACAACAGCCAAGACACATGATCCTATTATCACGCCAGAAATGAACTCCACTACAAGCGAACTTCCGCCTGGCTTAGCTTCAAAACTCGCGTTAGATGCTATCAAACCTAACCTAACCTAACCTAACCTATCAAACCTAACCTAACCCAGCCACTTACCTATTTACCATAGTGAAGAAATGAGTGAGATATCGCCTTAAGAACTGACTTGTCTACGATCTATAACACACCACCTTTCCCTCCGGTCAGGGTGGAAGCAGGAGGCGTATAAGAGGTGATGGAACTCCTTACCTTGGAGGAGTACCGTGAGAACTGAGAGTCCCTGGAGGAGTTGGAGGAGAGAGTGGAGGTAGGGCTGGTGGAGTGGCTGGTGGAGTGGTCCAGTTCGAGGCCTTCGTCCACGTCAGATAAATTCTCTTCTCGCCCTCCACTCGTCTTCCCCCCCAGCCCGCCCACTCCCACCTGTGTGGCCATAAGCTTATTTATCACCTGTTGTGTCCTTAAGCTTAGTAATAACCTAGTGTATCCTTAAGCTTATCACCTGGTGTAGCCTTAAGCTTAGTTATCACCTAGTGTAGCCTTAAGTTTAGTTATCACCTGGTGTATACTTAAGCTTAGTTGTCACATGGTGTCCTTAAGCTTAGTTATCACCTGGTGCTTCTTTAAACTTAGTTATCACCTGGTGTGTCCTGAAGCTTAGTTAGCACCTGATGTGTTCTTAAGCTTAGTTATTACCTGGTGTGTTCTTAAGCTTAGTTATTACCTGATGTGTCCTTAAGCTTAGTTATCACCTGATATGTCCTTAAGCTTAGTTATCACCTAGTGTAGCCTTAAGTTTAGTTATCACCTGGTGTATACTTAAGCTTAGTTGTCACATGGTGTCCTTAAGCTTAGTTATCACCTGATGTGTCCTTAAGCTTAGTTATCACCTGGTGTGTTCTTAAGCTTAGTTATTACCTGATGTGTCCTTAAGCTTAGTTAACACCTGATATGTCCTTAAGCTTAGTTATCACCTGATGTCTTTCAGCTTAGTTATCACCTGGTGTGTCCTTAAGCTTAGTTATCACCTGGTGTGTCCTTAAGCTTAGTTATCACCGGGTGTATCCTTAAGCTTAGTAATCACCGGGTGTATCCTTAAGCTTAGTTATCACCCGATGTGTCTTTAAGCTTAATTATCACCTGGTGTGTCCTTAAGCTTAGTTATCAGTTGATATGTCTTTAAGCTTACTTATCACCTGATGTGTCATAAAGCTTAGTTATCACCTGGTGTGCCTTAAGCTTAGTTATCAACTGGTGTCTTTAAGCTTAATTATCACCTGGTGTGTCCTTAATCTTAGTAATCACCTGGTGTGTCCTTAAGCTTAGTTATCAGTTGGTGTGTCCTTAAGCTTAGTTATCAGTTGGTGTGTCCTTAAGCTTAGTTATCAGTTGGTGTGTCTAAGCTTAGTAATCACCTGGTGTGTCCTTAAGCTTAGTTATCAGTTGGTGTGTCCTTAAGCTTAGTTATCAGTTGGTGTGTCTTTAAGCTTAGTTACCACCCGGTGTGCTCTTAAGCTTAGTTATCACCTGGTGTGTTCTTAAGCTTAGTTATCAGTTGATGTGTCTTTAAGCTAAGTTATCACCCGGTGTGTTCTTAAGCTTAGTTATCACCTGGTGTGTTCTTAAGCTTAGTTATCACCCAATGTGTCCTTAATCTTAGTTATCACCTGTGTGGCCATAAGCTTGTATTACCGGTGTGGTCATAAGCTTAGTTATCACCTGTGTGGCCATAGGCTTGTATTACCTGTGTGGTCATAATCTTTTCACCTGTGTGTTCATAAGCTTAGTGTCAACCAACATAAGTTCTTACCGATGTTTACAAGCTTAATCGTCACCCGTATTCATAAGCATAATTTTGACCTGCATGTGTGTGTTCGCCAGCTTAAGCATTACCTGTACGTCAAAGCTTAATTACCCCCGTGTAAATCTGTTTAAGGTCTTATCATCTAAGCGTTGGTCAGCTTGCAGCTTAAATTTGGTGTGCTGACCGCCATCACCAATGTCACCCAGATTAAACCCCTTGAGTACGATGACTGAATCTCACGAGTACGATGATTTAAAACCACTGTGCCTTCCCTCCCTTCCCCAGTCTTTCCTCTTCACCAATATGTTTATCTCCCTTCCTTCCTTCCTCCCTTCCTTCCTTCCTCCCTTCCTTCATCCCTCCTTCCTTTCGTCTGTCTCTCCTTCATTATTTCCTTCCTTCCCTCCCTCCCTCCTTCCTTCCTTCCCTCCCTCCCTCCCTCCTTCCTTCCCTCCCTTCTTCCCTCCCCCCATCACACGTAAAACTGAACACATACCTGATCATCTTCATCATCGTCTTCCTCATCCTCGTCTTCTTCCTCATCCTCTTCCTCCTCGGTAAAGGAGTCGAGGGAGGTGGGCGAGGGAGCTCTGTGGGCGTGCGTGGGCGTGGTCTTGAGGGCGGAGATCGACTCGTGTAGGGTGAGGAGCTGCCGGAAGAGGGCGTTGTCCTGGTTCATAAGCGACGCCTGTGGGAGGAAGGAGATGGTAGTGGTCAGCGGGGCGGGACTAGTGACACGTGAGGGAGGGACCAAAAGATTGATAGATAGTGTGAATATTACTTATGTACATAATACCTAACTAGATAAGTGTACGTAAAACACCGACACACGTACACGTACACGCACACCGTAACACACACACACACACACACATATTTGCATACATCAAACACATAACTTATTTCTTATCATTATTCTATTAGTACATGCTTGACTAATTCATAACAATGACTGTGTGAAAATAGAGAACTAATAGTATGACAGAAAAAAACGAGTCTGTTTATTCTTGAGTAAATAAAAAAAAATACATTAATATTACTACTACTATTATTATTATTAAAACAAACGTTTAGGTATTTCCGTTGCATCTGAAATATTCTCAAGCATCCATTTAATTCTTCACTGTCATACAAAAAACTATAGAGAATTTTATCAATATTATTAAATTATACTTCGCTAAGTTTGTGGCTCGCTTGATCTGCTTTCCGTTAGTCCCGTTATTTCCCGGAAATTTCTTGTCGATTCGCAATTCAATACACTACAATATTTCTGCTAGTGTTTGTTTAAGGGTTATTATTGTATTTTCGACATTTGAAGACGCAGACTGATAACCTATATTAACGTTATTACAATTTATATTTTTTGGTCGACGATGACTTGAAGCTTTCGTCAAATATTTCCACCCAAAAAAGCGTCCCAATATAAAGAAGCTGTAAATGTCTTTCTTTGGGGTTATTGGTTCAAATTGACTTTCTGTTTACTAATGTCTATACACATGAACCATATACAATGTACAGTATACTTGCGTGTACACGTACAGTATATAGACTCGGTGCACATGCTGAATCTATGTGAACGTATATGACGATTTTACGGATTCATGATGCAGGAAATCTGATGGTAAATAATCAAACCTGTTTTAATGTCATACGTGGGTTTAAATCTACAATATGTTCATTACTGCCATCATTATCTGCAGATTTAAAATGTCAAAGATTCGAGTGTCAGTGTAGCGGCCATTCTCCCAGAGGACCTTACATATAACATAATAATGGTTACCCCTCGTGTAACGAGGATGGCCGGCCCAAGGACCACCTAGGGGTGAATTTGTTAAAGGTGTAGAAGCTGTCGCTAACACAATAACCACACCCTGAGTTAACGAGTTGAATGACCCAGTGTCAAGAAATAGTCTGAGAAGACCGGACAACTCGCCAACTGCACTGGCTTACCATTACCCCGCAACACGATCCGCAAATCGATTAACATCCAGGTTCCCAATTACTGCTGGGTAGACAGAGGTATACATACTCCCTGTACAACAAAACACAATTATATTTTTCAGGAATTTTTACTTATTAAAAGTTGGGAGATGATGGTTACGAAAATGTATTTTGGTGATAGTGTAAAGATATTAGAACTTTAATTTTGTTCATAATTTCAATATACCTGTAGGTAGTGAGAAAGAAGTGTAGCCGTGACTGAACATAATTTTGGGCATCAGTGAAATGTCGACATTATTTTTATCATTAGCTTTAAGCCGCAGCTTAAGTAGGTCATTTAAAACCGTTCTCACATATTCATATAAGTGAACATGAAACTTAACCTTTGGAGGTAATTATGAGGTCACACCTTTCCCATATTTAATAAATTACTGACATTATTTTTTAAAGCATTATTTTACGAGTGTGAATTTTACACTCTGCTGCTAGGGAAGATGTTATGGATATATTATAAATATATAATTTTCTTTAAAAATATATTATTTTCATTTTACGTTCCAGACAACGGAAGCATTTATTTATATGACTCAAATAATTCACTCACATGATGGCGTCTTTATGTTGCTGTATGCAAGGTTTCTCATCATTATTATACTATTATTACCAGCAACATTATTAGTGCTACACTGCTGTATCTCTTTTTAAATTACATCTTAAGGTTAACAGATTCGTTTTGGAACTACCATCCTGATTTTACCTTCCCATAATTTACTACTTCGTCTGTAGCCTGAGAACGTTAACACACAGGGAACACAATTATTCAGTAAACATTGCCTACTCAGAGAGCATTTTCAAGAGTAAACTTTACCTCTGCCATTATTTTTTATCAGCAACATCACCCTCCCAACCACTCAGAAAATTTCTAACAATAAACCCCATCCCCGAAAATCTGGAGGACATTTTACCCATTAAAACATTGATACGGAGACAAATACAGAACTTCCTGACTGAGAAGGATAAATATTCCTCTCACGTATAGCATTACAGCAAGCGGAAGTAAGAACCACTATACTAAAAGTCCCCACCCTAGAACCAGCTAGCGATTAGTAACGCCAAGGAAGATCACACTAACAGATCATCACCGTGACGACAACGCCACCCACCATCAACGGTAAATGCTCTTTGGTTTACATAATTACCTAAAAACATCTTACACTCCCTACCGATTTATCCTGCTCTTAATAAACACACCAATACGTCATGGTAAGTTATCACATGTTTGATACGTTCGACTTCTTTATGGTGAGTGTGTGGGAATGATGGAATGACCATTTGCGGAGTAATTTTGATTAAGAAATACTTGGAGATTAACCGACCGCCATCGAATACACGTGTGGTGAATGAAGAACGTTTCGGCCCGGATGATTGAGCCTCGCACCACAGGTTTATATTACCGGGTTATTATGATCTTCCCGATTTTAATCATTTATTACGAGAAAAACTAACAAAGCTATAACGAAGAGCACTGTTTTATATTTCTCTCCATACTTAACTTCCCTAATAGCCTCACGTATCCTTTACAAAGTTGCTATAATTGATGGAACAAAAAATATTTCTGTCAGGTAGATGAAAAACTGTGCATAGTCTGATCATCCCCCGCCCACCTGAGCAGCGGTGAGCCACTTGTCCATACAAATCTACGCCACTAACTGGGACACTTTGACACGGAACCTTATAGCCGCTATAATACAGCGTAAAGCACATTTCGGTACAAACCGTGTTAGTCTTCCAGATCTAAATGAGAGCAAGGGCGGATCCAGGAAGGGGGGTCCTGGGGATCCGGACCCCCAACCCCCCCCCTTTTTACCAGAGAATTACAATACTTTTTATTTAATTCAGTATTATACTCAGGCATGTCTTCAAAATGGCCTCAAAATGCCCGACTGATAAAAAAATCTGGAGGCTACCAGCCCCCCCCCCCCCACAGCTGGGTGGGCTCGCTGCGCTCATGTTCCCCCATCCACAACTTCTTGGACCCCCCTTTTGATATTCCTGAATCCGCCCCTGGAGAGTTGTTTCTGTCTAAACTTACCATTACAAAGCCAATAGACCTGATAACTGTCTAACCCATCAGTATCGAGACAGCAATAAAATAAGCCAACGCATATTAACCCAATGTGTCAATTAGTGTAGCTTCAGAGGCACTATCACAAGGGGAGACTTACCAAGTGTCCTTCTCTGTTGTTGGACCTGGATAAAAAAATAATGCGTCTCCGTGCAGGTGTAGTAATGAAGAGGATATAACCATATTTCTTCATTATCAGACAGGTAAACCTCTTCTAGCCTTTTACGGCATTTAAACTACTAGATATTTTCTATTTCGTGCTAAATGATGTCAAAACCATTCATTTTTCCCCTTTTGATCAGTAAAGAAAGTACAAGAGAAAACAACCAAATAAATCACGGAGCATCGTTGGTTGGCAATCCCGTGCTTGAGGTACAGTAATGTCACCCTTACGGACACACTCATCTCTCTCCACCTGTTGTTGACGTCGTTTACTCTGCCAACACTCTTAGCTGGTCATACAAGGCGGCCGACCATATAGTTTATTGTTGTAAGCGACGCACTTTCCTTTATCCACAGCCTCACTATGTGGGTGTGATGGAGGGATAAGCGACTCACAACACGCAATACAGTATTACTAATTGTTTGTCTCATTATCTTGCACGCGGAAAATACATAATGTTGTCAATTAATGCATAAAAAATATTGCTTGGAAAAAATTTAGTAGACTATCTCCCCTAACCCCTTCATTATGAGGTAGACTAAATTTACTCACAAACAATACGAATTAAGTATTTATATGTACAGTACAGTATCACAATTATTAAAACAACCAGTAATTTTACAACTGCCCTTTGTATTATAAACCTCAGATACTAATTATAAAAGTTACATACTGCTGACCGCAAATTTCGACTACTATCACTGCATGATTCCTTAGACAGAGAAAAAACTTTTACAAGAAGATTATTCTACAGTTACAATTAATCGCTCCAATTCTCGCAGCCACAAATTTCTCTTCAAAACACAGGCAACAAAAGGTGGAGTCGTCAGGCCAGCGAGGGAGAGTTGTCAACGTTGGGCAAGCACAGAGTGGCGGGACCCAGGCAAATTTAAAGAGCTCGGTGCGTACTAAGACAGTTTTTCTCCCCAGAATTACGAAATTAACTGTAAAATATCACTGATTTCAAATAGCAAACTGAAATAAATATGTTACTGAATTCCTGTAAAAATATTCAAAGTTTGTGTTGGAGTGAATGACAACTAAAATGCCTAGAATTTGACCAAAAGTCTCTCTCATATGCTACAAATTATACCACGTTCTTCTAGAAATAATAATTAACTGTCTTTATACCATATTTTTGTCGGTAAAGAAGAACTGCATGGTCGAACACGTACTCTCCGTCTGTCACTTTTCTGAATGACTGTACAGTTGTGAGGTATTTAAACTGTGGCTTTATCTCTGGCCAACCATCTACACAACTCAAGACAGATTTCTCCAGTTATCACAAACACGCACACGCGCGCACACACACACACACACACACACACACACATACACACACACACACACATACACCTCTACATTTGTTCACTATAGACTGTACAATCAGCGCAAGTACAGTGCATAAATAATGTATGTACTGTATAACCAATGCAGGTATACAAATAAGGGTAAAAGGTACATCAAATTGACTAA